TAATTAAGTTAACGACTACTTACCGATTTTATTTATCGAAAATAAATATATATTCATAGTGCACTTCAGTACTTCAGTAAATTAAAGATAAAATAAATTCAGAAAAAAAACACATCAGTTATGAAATGTTTATTTATTTAATTTTAAAACGGTTTCCCACTACCTTAACAAATTCAATGTTTGGAAATTCGTGTGCGTCTAGCTTTTTGATGCAATCATCCAGAAAAACTTTATTAGTTCTAGTTTGTCTTGTATTTGACCAATAGAAGGGCAATCTGATAAAATTATTATTGTTATTGTGGTGTCTGTAATATATGAATAACATTAAGATTAATATGTGATGTGAGGCTGTATTATTTTAAACAACTCTTAATGATTTTATAGTGGCAATTAGCACTCAAAGTCATCCGCTGCCATTGGGAGGCAATTGATGTATAGTTAGGAGGGAATTCGACATAGCGAATATTTTAACCCTAATTAAAAACAGGTATATGGGAGGGAACTAGGCATTATCTATTAGAATAATGTGACGAGGTTATCTTTGTTTCAGTAAACACGATGACTTTAAATTTGTAGTATGTTGTAATGGTGATACTGATCATTTTCATATATGTATATATGTTGGGCGCGGAGATAATAATGAAGCATATTTTTCGAAGACATTATTGTAACGTATCAGCCCGCTTTCGGCATGCAGGGGTATTAAAGAAACTCCAGTCTGTCATAAAACTACCTAACAACCATACAATAACGTCACTAATACATATACATCTCGAAACCTAACCTAACCAAACAATAACGTCACCAATGCATATACATCAGGCGATCACACTGGAACCGTGTAAACACAGGTAACTGTAATTCTCAGTTTACTAACGTGTTTTATTTATTTTATTCACAGAAAACATTAGTTTTATACATTTCCTAGTACAATATCGGAATTTCATACAATTCCTAGGAAATGTATATGTGTCTATTAAAAAAATCTTTGAAACAATACTGTGTAGATTTCCTAAATAGCCTCGGAATTGTTAACATTCCCCAGGAATTGTATAGATTTCATACACTTTCAGTAACATATACCATATAGTAAGTAAAAAGCAATTGAGCGCGTTGCTTACTGTGATTATAAGAAATTTTTAGTAGGGTTTTCAGAATCGGTTCCATTCAGCTTTTTTTGTATCTACTGTTATTACGTCAGATGTTGTTGAAACGGCATTTTGAACAAAACCGAGATAATTAACGAGAAATTTACTCGCAATTTCTGGCACTCCGAATAGTCGTTATCGATAGCATTAACAAAGAAACCGCGCTTAATAACAAGCTGATACGTCGGTGAAAATGGTTTATTATATAATCGTCCTGTAAGGAGTAAACATTAACCTGAAGGATAAGGAACTTTACTTCCTCGTCTCATTTTGCTCTTTATCCCTCTCTTGAAGAAACAAGTTCCCTTCCCCTCGACTTGAGTTGCTGCCTTGCCGTTATTTTGTATACAATATCATTGCTTCCTTATCAAGTTGGCTGGCACGTTGTTAGCGTTCCCGCAGGACTAATAAACACCATTGTCCCGGTAACCATGGAGAAATCATGCGACAGTTTCGAGCAACTTGGAAATCTATTATAAAGACACCGCCACAACTTGGCGCGATATTATGAGAACGCCGTTGTTACGGAAGTGGCGCCCCGATGACTCCAATAATGGCGGTTTCGCTCACTCTCTATTGCGTAAAAGCAACACTACGAAAACGGGAGAGATAGAAAGCGGGTGAGAGAGAGAGAGAGAGAGAGACAAAGAGGATAGCTGAAGGAGCAAAACGTATACCTTTTGTTAAAACGGTCGACTAAACTCTCCCTCGTTCGAGAAAATTGCACCAAATAACTGAACCGGAATGACATCGGTGCATTATTAAAAAGGCACTAGATTAACCTGCTTAAAACTGAACGGAAATAAGCGACAGGTGATATAATGTGATCTTTAACTTTTGGCATAACGCGTACCACATTCGTATTTATGTAGGGGAAGTACCAAATTTATTAGAATAATGACCCCGTAACCCTTCTCTTTTCCCTTCACCCCCCTTCATCATCATCTTAAGGTCGTTAGTCGTAAGATTGGTTGGACACGCACCTCCACTCTTTCCTATCCTGAACTAATCTAATTTCGCTAAAATTAGAACAACCCTTAACTATTTGCGAATAGTAATCTAATCTAGGTCTACCTCTACCCTTCCTACTCCTCGTTTCTGCCTGTAACATGTCTTGACTAGGCCTTCATGCCTGAGAAGGTGTCCTACCAACCTATCTCGCATATTTCTTATTGTCTTCCATTGAATCTTCTGTTCTCCTATTCATTCTAATATCTCTTCCTTTCCAACCTTCTCTATCCACGGTATCTTTATCATTCTCCGGTAACACCACATTTCGAACGCTTCTAACCTTTTCGTCTCCGCAGCGCCCATCGTCTATCCGTACAGCACCGCACTCCAAGTGATTTCTTTTTATTGAAGGCGACTTGACCCTGCGTTACCCTCAACTTTAACTACCACTCCTTCCGTACTGAGTTATCTAACTTTCTAGATACCTAAAATCAGCCACATCTTCCAATTTTTCGTCTCCTATATTTCTTACTTTTTCTTCCCTTGCATTCCAGTATTTTTGTTTTATTGACGTGACAACGTCTTATAATTCGATGGAGCCGGCTGCATGCACGAAAAAACATGACTCATGCGGCGTTACCTCGCTCTGAGGCGTTCCATTTAAGGCTTGAAGTGCAAGCGAGAGCGCGGAACGAGTGACAAAGAGGCACAATCGGCTTCCGCGTTCGGCAGCGTTCGACATCTGTCTCTCTCCTACTTGAGTGAGCGATGCGTCCGCGTGGACAGCTGCTATACAATAATACATTTCCATTTACCTCCTCTATATCCATACAAAATATCTATCAAACAAATAAAATTAAAATTTTCTTTTGAAAAATGAAACCATTCCATCAGTATTTTCTTATGACGTTGTCACGTTCAACTATCGTCAGTAAACCGACTTTAC